GGGGAACACTGGTTTACCTGCGGACTGTGCGACTCAGTATCCCAAATTCCAGCTGCCCATAGGTTTTTAATTTATTCAACTGGTATTTCCCCTGCTGAATCTCACCTCCAAGAACTGGTCTGCACAGAAGTCTGAACTGATGACTCCTTTTCTCATATTCATAGGGACTGACACTCTCTATTCATGAAAACAGCTTTTGCACTTGCAAATCATTTTAGATGCAATTTTCGTCCAATACTTGCAGGCTGAATATTTAAAACAGCTTTGCTGTTTCTAAATTTAGTATATGAATACTTGATCTCAGTGGGTGACTTTTAAAAAAAAAGGGTGACTTTTAAAAAGATTTAGTCTTACATCAGCATCTTAATTCATGATAACTTGTCATTGTTAGTGGCTGACAGTACTGCGAGTGTGAGGACATATATACATTTACCAGAATGTCTGATAGAACTCTTTTCCTTATAATTTTTTTTTTTTTTTAAAAGGACAAGTCACTCAAGGAAAACTAAAAGGAAACAAAACCTAAATTTTAGCTTAACCTCTCTTTGGAGTTTCTTTGACTTGATTCACTCCGTGCTACAGGGCTTTATCCCCACACCCTACAACAAAGGGGAGGCAAGAGCGCCCGTCAGCACCAACAGTTTGGAGGCAGAGAACAATAGAGGCTGAGACTCGTTGCTGGGCTGAGCTGCTTTTTCACAAGGACAATGTTTGCTCAGATGCTACTTCTCCTTCAGGACCAGCCATGGCTCAGCTCGGAGTTTGCACCACTTTAACAAACACTCTGCTGCTGCCGCCGTTTACATCAGCCTTGCCTTAGAGACGGAGAGTGACCTAAGCCCTGGCTTTGTGCAAGGGGAAGCAGATAATTGCGCTGCCCAGGAGGAGTCTCATGCAGGAATTGTGGGAATCACAATTCCTTCCCCACGTGCCACGCTCCTGCAGGGAAGTTAATTACTGCAGCAACTTAGGAAGCAACTCGCTCGGCAGCTTCCACAGCGGCTCCGCTCTGCTGCCCGGCTCGCGGCAGCCCCTCACGTGTGGGCGAGCAGGAGCTGTGCCGCAGTCCCCAGAGCTGCCTCTGCCTCTCACCGCTCTCAGCGTCAAACATTTCTTCCTCCTCTCTACTCTGAATCTCCCTCTTTTAGTTTAAAACCACCAGCCCTTGTCCTGTCACAACAGGCCCTGCTGAATAGACTGTCCCCAGCTTTCCCATAGGCCACTTTAAGTACTGGAAGGCTGCAAGAAGATCTCCCCTGTCAGCAGGAGATATCTATTTGAATGGTGCAATATGAATTACAAGATCACCATCACTGATCTAACATTAGATTAAGCACAACAGACACAGTTTTCCAGCACTCAGAGCACCCTGGGCATTAGGAATAAGCTTCCCCTACTAGCAGGTCATTTGCAGCATTTCTGCACTGCCCTTTGAAATAATGGGCACTGATTTGGGTGCACTAGCACCCTGACCTCTGTGACAATCCATTTCCAGAAGCTCCAAGAGCACAGTGACAGACTGGAGCAGCAAGTTGTAAGCAAAGAGTTCTCGGCACACGCTCCCCCTTTGCAGCACGGAGTATAAAGCTTGTTTTCAGTTCAAGTGGGCAAGAAGTGGTGCCCACGGCTGTTCCATGGCACTGCTCACAGAGCAGCCACCCCAAAATTCCCCAGGAGCACGCTGCCGTGGTGGAGGTGCTGCCAAGGGCAGTGCCACGGCTGCCCCCGCACCAGGGGAGCGAGAGGCAGCCGGCCACAGCTCTCCAGTGAGGAGAGGCCACGCTCCTGATTATTTCTCAATTCAATGAAAGATGTATTTCTTCAGCCTTAAAGAAGTTGAAAACACTTGTAAAATCTAGTTCTAGTAATTGTTATGTAGGTAAGTGAATTACATTGGTGTGTCTCCATGGTGACCGATAATGCAAAATAATTAAGTATGAAGAATAATGAGGAGAAAACTACTTCCTCTTTTTAAGGATTAGGGGCTTACAAATTGATTCAATCTAGCTATTTTTAGTGCATGTAACCTTTGCAAAGAATATTAGAAAATGATGAGTAAATTAAACTAAATTGTATTAGAAGGTCTTCACATGGATCAGGAGACTATCTGCTGCTGATGTGGAAACTAAAAAAAAAATCTTTCTTAAATGTATACCTATCTTAATCTGAATTCTGTGACATTGTGCACCAAGTGCTGACTGCTGGCTTTCTGCATTTGATTCCTGTCGGGCAGGAGCGCTCCATCTGTGCACCACTGAAGACAAGCACTCTCACCTGTGTCCAGGAAGGACACGTTCCACAAAAACCCTTCTCTAGAGCATGGTTCACACACAAATTTTGGCTGACAAGTCCTGGCTGAGGTATCCCAGAGGAAGACAGCTACACAGGATTGCCCCGCAGACAGGATCCTATCTGTATGTCCTGCTCACTGCAAGGAAGACTTCACCTCTGGCTGGCAGACTCTCAGTGTAAATATGCTTCATTTTTCCCTCACAGAATTTTATACTGGAAGCGTAGTAACAAACAGTACAGGATGAATAATAAGAAAGTGGCTAACAGCTCTGAAGTACATTTTTGACTGAATTTTGAGTGGAACTGGAAGCCTAAAAGGTGCTGGGAACAGAAGGATGAGAGGAAAATTATTTTACCCTAGGAGGAGATGCTCTACAGGAAGTTAGGAACTAAGAAAGCAGAACAAGAAGCAGGTATTTTTTCTTCACTGCTCCAGCAATATAACAACATCCATAAAACACATCAACTTTTTCTTCTCTTGACATACTGATATTTTAATCTGTGATGTTATTAACAGCTGTTGTAGAATTACAAACTCTTGGCTTAAATGAAAACAAGGTAAATTTTCAATTCTCTGTCAACCATGAAAATGCAACCTCCCTTAGTTTTTGTAGCGAACATTTTGTTGCAACATTCACACTCAGAATTTGAATTTTATATTAATTTCTGCAAGGCCCTCAAGACTAGTATGTGTGTTTAAGCTACAAGAAAAACAACAATCCTGATACCCCCTAAAACTGGTACAGAGGGGGTGCTGTACAGAAGGTGCAAACATGGAGGTATCAGAGAGAGGGAACCCCTGTCCTAACTTTAGAGTCTACAGCAAATATGGCAGAAGGGCCAGAAATTACCATTTTTTGGTTCCTGAGCAATCACAGACATCAAAAGCCTCATCAGAGTCAAAGGTATCAAAAGGTGTTATCACAATCAAAAGAATTACACTGTGATTACAACTCCACAAGTCTGTGTTGTACATTTCTGCACAGTTCTGAAATCACAGTAAATCAGAGCAAAAACTTACCAAAAAATGAGTGTTTCCAGAAAAGAGATTCCAACATCGGATGCACCAACCACCACAATTCTAGTGTTGATAGATCTTCTAGATTGCATCACCAGCTTTCGATTTATGTGGTTCAAAGAATAACTCAACTGTAAAAAAATATGCAAAATGACATAGAAATGCATTAAAACCCAACCAAACAAGCAAAAAAAAACCCAGCAAAAGTCTGCTAAGAATCATTAAACCATCAGTAATACATCACCTTGCACTCGTACAAAACTTCTTATGGCTCAGTGATAGGACTAATATAATGATTTGCCTATGCCCAGTACAAGATAAATGGTAGATGAACAGTACTAAAATGTTGAAGTATGTGCATGTTTAATAGGTCACAGAAAATGAGCGAAGTTTGATGGCCTGGCTCCTCCTGGGAAAGATGCTATGGAGTCCTTGCAGGAGAGGAGGAAACACCACCTCTTGTATAACTTACTGCCATTGAGCTAACACCTGGGGAACACATTAACTTAATGTTAAGGCCATTTTAATACCTTCTACAGCAGTTTTTACTCTTGATGGTTTATTTATGGAAATGGTTTTATGTGTAAATTTTGAGTATTTTTGTGTGTTTAATTGAAAACTCTCTTCCAAATGATAGAATTAACCTTCCTGTTTTCTTAAATACAGAGCAGCTACACTGAAAGCCAGGCTCTCCAATGAGTAAACTAGTAACCCCTCAATGCCACCAAGATCAATGCTCTGCCAAAAATCTTACTGTGAAGTTTTTAACTACTAGCTTCTCAGTTTCCATTGTTCTTAATACAAAGACTAGTTAAGACAATAAGATCCATGTATCTTTTAATTTGTGTTTCTAGGCCTCAATAGCTAACAGAGATTCTTAAACATGCAAGAAAGGAAGGGCCAAGAGATAATATTGCATTTGACATTTTTTTCCTGCCCTAAACTACATTTAGTTTTCAAATTTCTGATGAAAGACAGGGAACTACTTTCCATCTCACAGTACCACCCCCTTCACATTTTCTTATTGCTTTAGTTTTTATACACTCCTGTTTCACAGAATGTGTGACTGCAGATTTGTAAATGCAGTGACAACTACAAAACTGAGCTCCTTTCACTATTTGTCAGACACTTCTCCTACATATTTCTGCTCCATCACTTTGGCAGGAAGCAATCTAAGACTTGTAACAGGTTTTTCTCTGTTACGAACAGGAGACAAAGTTAAAAAAATTAAGTCCTCTAAATTCCTCCTATGAAATTACAGTAGAAATACATTCTTTGTATATTAGCTGACAGAGTAACTCAATACATGAAGAGTAAGTATTTTATTTTAAAGCTGTAGTAGTAGCATTTGCCTCCTCAAGAAGTACCTGGCACGCTGAGATCCCCAAGAGATCAAGGAGGAGGATTGTGTGTGTGGCACCCTCGAGTCTGTCCTGTACCTTACGGAAGGATTACGGACCAATTACTTGCAAACTGCCATCACTGCATAGCAAGTAATTTAAAATGTGGGAAAATTAAATGTCTTCATTGGTCAAGCAACATTATTTTTTACTGCCAGATAAATGTTCTTCGGGCTGCAGTTCACCACAGTGCAATGACGACATCCAGTGGTGAGAGCCAGATTCATCTCAGGGACCAAACTTCCCTAAGAAAATTCCAGAAGATAGTGAAAAAAGTATACCAGCCCACGATAGCTGCTTGGTGGAGAAGGCAGAGGTGTGAAAGCCAGCCCATGCTGCAGCCTCACGGGCAGCCCTGCACCAGGACCACCCTGAGGAGCCAAGGCTAAGCCACAGAGCCAGCGTTGTTATACAAGACACCCACAAATCTCTACAAACGAGCCTAACGATCCACTCCACAGCCCGTGCTTCTGAACGTGGTTTAACACTTCTTACAGGAGGATTTGGCAGTAAAAAGGGGTTTGATAATTCATGAGGATATATAACATTTCCACATTTCAGAAAGTGAAAAACCCTTTTATATTCCACTGACAATACATGTCACTGGAAGAGATTTTAAGAAATGAAAGGAACCAATGCCAATTTTTAAAGGCATCCCCCACTGCTTAAAATCAAACTTGGACTGTTTCTTTTTGACATACTAAACAGGTAAGCCCCAGCTACAACACTGGATGAGGTTCTGCGAGGGCTGACACTTGCAGAGATCTCACGGTACCACAAACAGGCATTAAGGATGCTGTGCTTAAGGCCCTACTCTTGGTACTCAAATTCCTTGGGTTGTGAGGGGTTTGGTTTATTGCACACAGACAGCTGCAACTTTTCTAGAAAAGCAATGTCTCCTGGATCTTCATGATGTTTTCACTGAAATGCGTTTTTTAACAAAATTAATAAAATGGTAAAAAAGATCATGAAGAGAAACTACTTGCAATGTACCTAATCAACCAAATTAACTAGACAGGAATGTCAGCAGCTAATAGGATAAACCCAGCAGACCTTACAGCAATGCCAAGTTCAAACATCTTCTACTGCCGTGCTGTTTTGTTTTGGGATATTTTTAAATGCACTCTAGCGATGACACACAAAGCAGTAATACAATTTCCTCGGGAGGAGTTGTCTCTAATTTATAAAATGGCTTCTGTATCAATGATACAAAGGCAGCATATGAGCAGAATATAACTGGTTTTGTTCACCGCACAATGGCCCCAACACCAACAGCTGTCATGCTTCAGAAATCACCTTTCTAACAGCTAAGTACACTAAATAGCCCCGGGGAATAAGGAATTAGGTGGATTGGTCCCATAATACCACCTTATTCTAACAAAACGTCAGGACAAATGACTACATATGCTCCCCAGAGGAGTAATCAGACATCATAATTGATAGGTCAACAGCAAACTCTAACTTGTTTATTTTGTATCCAATTTATTAAATAAAACAGCAATCATTAACTAACGCAAGGCAGAAAGCAATAATTGGCATTGTTAGAAGAGGCATATAAAAAGAAGAGCTCAAAAAAGTCTTTTCTTTGGTTATCAAAAGGGTGGTTTTCCCTCCTGCCCACTCTGCTCCCCAACAGCCTCTGTCCTACTGCTTCCCACTGGGGAGGCAGAGAGGGGCCACCCACACCCTCCACCCCGTCTCCTTCAGAAACCACAGGGGACAGGTCTTCTGGGGACAGCCAGTGGCACGCACCCAGAGGGCACTGCCAACTGCACCTCCACCAGAACTGCTCACACGCTTCTCAGAATGCTCCCCAGAAGCCACAAACGCTGCCAGTAAACCATGGAACACTTGGGATCTCACAGCACGGGATGCACCAGAGCAGGATTCAGTTCTGGCATTGAGAATTCACCCATCCCTCAGTCTGCACACTGCCTGGCAATGTATTCATTGCACATTTACTCAACAGAGCATATTTTGTAGCAACTTTTAGTGCTGGTTTTACATATTGGACACTGGGCTAGCCTGGGATTTCTAAAAATATTTATTGTAATTGTTCTACAAGTGGTCTGCTTTTGTAGCAAATGTCACCTTCGTGTAAACAAAAAGAACAGAAACTGAACACCACAGAAATGAAAAAGGCGTGTTGAACAGAGGGTTCCAGTTCTGCCAGGCCAGGAGCAGTGCCACGTTCTGCATCGGGAGCTGGCAAACACCTCCCCACAAGACATCAGCACTGTCTCCAAGACCAGTTACACTCATCACAGGAGCTCCTCACGCAGAGATTCCACAACGTAGTGCAATTCAGGCTTCATTTTATTACACACTGAGGACTTGGGCCTTCCCTTCTGTTTTAATTTAGCATTTGTTAGTGAGAAACCTGAGTGAGAGCTACTGCTGTACAGAATCTATGTGATTTGAACTCTGTTACTGTAAAAAACACCAGAAGGAGTAAAAATGTCCAACGAACCTGTTCCTAGATTAGTGCTGAGGTCGGCAACAGTGGCAGGCAAACAAGGAGCTGAACAAACGGAGCTATTTTAATTTCAAGGTCCATTTGAATCACAAGAAAAAAACAGTTTATTATTACAGAGATATGGACAAAAACAATTGGAAAATGCAGCTTTTTCAGAATGCATTATTATTTTTATAAATACTAGCTACATTCCAAAAAGTCTCATTAGGACTGTCTGTAAACATGTCTTCAAGAGCTGTTCCCAAGCATTCACAGATTTACAGAAACACCAGAAACAGAAGGAAAAGGAAAAATAAAAAAGAAATACAACAGTGATGAAGACTGCAGACTTAATCTTTTTATCATCTTTGTCAAGGAGGCCTTCGTTAGTCACTTTAGCTCTACAGAACCCATTTGCACAGGCAGTCCCTGGCCTTTACACAACATTTTTCATGCACAGACCTCAAAAGCATCCCTGAATGAAGTCACTACTGGTATAGCAATCTTCATATGGGCAAATGCTGACCTTCAGCTTTTACAAAAACAGCCTATGTACTCATGAGCACTCCAATGCTAACCCCTGTGACTCCCTATGAAACCAGGGGTTTTCTGTGAAACTCCAAAAAGCAGTAAAGGAGAACAGAGCACAAACAGACGTATCTGATTTCCTTGCAGAGCCACTGTTACCATGGTAAGAAACTGCTCTTTTTTTCCTTTTAGCATCAGCATTTGGATTCCCTGACCAAAGAGGGCTGGACAGTTCACATTCACATTAGGATCTCATGATCATTTGGTGCTCAGCTTAAAAGGACAACTAGTGCCACTGTCAGAGAGTTCAGTTCTCCCCTCTCTTTCAGGGGAGGAAAGCGATGTGCAGAAAGGCACAGGACCTTGATCAAAGCCACTCAGGCTGGCAGGGGGGTAAAGGTGATGATTTTACAGCACTTTTTATAGTCACATGGCTGGCTCTCGGGACTAGTTTACCCCAACTTTAAGATAAAGAAATCTGCTTTATGGAGACCAATTCTCATCTGTTATGAAAGCCTCTAATCCTCTGACAGCAGTCATGGCTTCCCAGGTCATCTTAGTTGCTGTTTATTTCACAAGGTATTTTTGGAGGGGGGGTGAAAAGAAACAGTAAATAGAAACTTTTCTTTGGCCAAGATTAAAAAAAATACACAAAATGTAGCAACATCAAGGAAATTCAGCCTGGAATACCTTCTGGATATTATCTAGCTGGACTCTCAACACAAATGGAGAAGGAAATATAGGGGAT